AGTGAGTATATTCTGGCAAACTCACTCACAAATGTTGGTGTACATATTTCATCGCTTCCAAGCAACACCAACGTTATCGTACATATATATGGTTGCTTGTGAATAGCGCAGTAGACGTTGTCAATTTGAGTTGGCTCTATGCAGGTAATTTGCCAGCAAGGATTCCATTCGAGTTCTGGGGAGGATTGAATCAAGTTGTCAATTGCTGGACTATTAACAACAACCCCTGGTGTTGTTAACGACATAGTTTGAATTAAAAAGAAACTTTTCAAGGGCACATGCAAATTTCGTTCTCAACACTTGTGTTACATCATATCATGCTTATTCGTAAACCGATACAACGCCCCACCTTAAGAGGTGCTTTTATAGTCTAACACTTTTTTTTTCATCATTCTTACCATGCTAAAAGTAAAGCAGTATAAGTATGCTAAATTTATTATACACGTATATTGCAAAAAATACAATTATTTCAAAACGTCGCAACCAATTTACTAAATTATTTAAGACGGACTCTGGAATAAAATTCCATTTTCCCTGTCAAAAATTCCTCTAAATCCTCTTGTAGCATATCGCACGGTCGAAAAAATTTTGCTCAACACATTGTCTTACTTATTGCTACTCAATGGCTTATCTTAAACCATTATCTTGACGGTATGCTTTGAATCAAATTAACATAAATGCCTTTTCCAAAAACTTTATACTAAAAGGCAAAATAGAAATTAATTTATGTAAAGTGTAGGCATCTTGAGTATAATTTTGGCCACAGAGTGGTTACGATCTTGCGACGAAAAGTGTAAACAAACAAAACAAATGGTACAAGTTACGAAGTTATGTGACCGAGAATAGAACGCACAAACCGTATTACAGTCAACTGTCACTTCCATCCAAGTGTAGAAGTAGATTCACAGTGGTCTTCTTGTCATTTTTGCATATAACCCACAGTTCTGTGCGTTTCAGTTCTTTGCAGACAAAATTCGTGGACTTGTATGGACATACTAGTCATGGGATCTACCGATGGCAATAACTCAATATATGGATTATCAAGTATGAAAAAAAAAACTATTATTGTTGAAAGACACTTAACTATAGTTTCTCTCGATATGGGTTCTGCTCTGAATGTGGAATACCCAGATGTAGTCCAGTGCGGTATATTTATGGATGTAAGAATATAAATAACACGATTACTGTTAATGGTACCTCCCATCTACCTCCCTAATTTTAGCAACTTTGATTGCCAAATCTGATAGGGGAGGTAGCTGAGTAAATCTTGTTCTTGTCAATGGTCGTAACTTTCTAGACTTTACGTATCGTAGACTTGGCTATTATAAATTATGCCATTCAAGGAAATTAATGTTTGTTGATAAAGATTTTTAGTTTGAATTTTGTTCAAGCAAAGTAATAAATTATTCGTTTATTCGTCACATTAATTACAACGCGAATTTCTGCTAACAATAGCAACAGTAATTGTGTAAATGTTATTGATTAAGCCACACTGATCATGTAGTATTAACATCACATCACGACCTCCCACACATCAAATGGAAAGGCGGAGAAGCGACTAGAGATTGCAGAAGCAGTGCTAAAGGAGTTTACGGAGGGGAAACGTGGGCAGAGACAATCACCATCGTGGACCTACACAACATGTGTCACTGTCGATTATAGACCTGACTTTGCTCAAAAATGTAAACCAATAAAACATTCTTGCCAGACACCTAATCTGCGGACCGAGGTAATTATGAGCTGAATGCACTTTTAAGATCTTATTAACCTTATTAAAATATTTAATTTACAAGTTTACTGTAATAACTTCAAGGATCGTAATTATTTTTTATCGGACTTTATTGCCAGCACAGAGTTTGTAGTCATTATACCAACCCAATTCGTGCGATCCTAATCCAAGACGTTGTTTAACTCAAGCATTTCACTCGCTCACTTGCTTACATGCGTCTGGCTGTCCTGCATGCACGCTTTATATACTATTTCTAAAGCTTTTGTTAAGAGGTTTCGCGATTACAGTGCGATTACAGGTATTTTGCGTGCGTGTTTGTTCTGGCGGGAGAACGTTTACAAACGAGTTCAATGAAACAATATTATTTGTATTCGTAGAGTCTTGGTGATGAGATAAGGTAGTTTGAATCACGAGTTGAAGGTATTTATGTGCAGAAACGATGCTTTCTTGAGTTTGCGCCTGATGCCAAACGGAATGATAAGTAGATCAGAATCATGCCGGCAAGTATTAGCGAATATTGAAAATGCTTGTCTTATTACAGAGCAAGATAAAAAAAAAAGGATTTGGGAAAGTTGTTGCTTAATGGCAACACCAATACTAAATTGGAAGGACTATAGTCCCGATCTTAATCCAATAGAGAATCTGTGGGTGAATAGAAAGAAAAATAAGGTGAAATTATTCCCTGCTTGGAGAGAGAGAATTCAAACACAAAGCGACGTGATTAGTAAATTAGGAGAATGACATGTTTTGAGGAATTAAAATGTATTGAATTCAAAAGGAATGTCCATATTAAATATTAAAAGGGTATAAGTAAAGTTTTGAAATTGCAAGTTAATCTCAGGTGATGTCGCTCGTTTTGGCAAGGGGTGGGTGTAATCAACAATTTGATGCCTATGATACAAAAAGGTCACACCTTATTAATAATATCATTAAAAAGAATACTTTGTGACGAATCGAATTTTCTAAACTTTGTGCTAATTTTATTATAACTTTTGAGTAATTAGACTTGAAATATAGTGCTCGGGTAAGATTTCGGATCATCGTAGTAATTTTTGGCAGGGGATATGTTTCCATTTCATAATAAAGTCTCGCCTATAAAATGATGAATGTATTGTTTTAGTGAGGGATGAAAATAAATAAAACATCATCTGAACACAAAAAAAATAATAACAGTACTAACCCAGACAACTCCGAATAAGAGAGCAACCAACAGTGACAGTTTCTTCTATACTCACTTCATCTTGCAATGTCGGATTAACCTCCTGTTGAAGCAAAAGGAAAGCGTTCAGTTTTCGGAACAAACCGTGAAAATGCTTAAGCATTGGAGATATAGGAATCTTGTAACATTACCATTATATCAACGGCAACCAGGCATCCTGTTTCACTAATTGCTTCACAGATGTAATGTCCCTCTCGGAATGTAAGACCTCCACGTACAGGTGTACCTATTGGTTAATATGGGATCAAAACGAACCAATCATGTTAAAACAATGGTAACACATAAAGTTAACAAATTACACCAACCATTCCAACCTGCTTACCAGTACTAGGTGCAACAGTAGGATCCAAACCATCAACATCGAAACTTAAATGAATCGGCGTATCCCTTCCCGGACACACATGGTCTAAAGCCATTTCCATGACTTTACCAATCCCGTACTTGTCCACTTCATGCATTGAAAATGCTTTGATCCCATATTGTCTTAGAATCTTCTTTTCCGGTGGATCGACGTCTCTGAGCCCAATGTACACTAGTTGCTCGGGTTTGAGACATGGCTTGAGCCATGAGAATCCTTCAATTTTCCCTGCAATGCCGAGAAGAAAAGATACAGGGCAGCCATGGATGTTGCCAGATACGGTTGTATCGGGTGTATTGATATCCTGGAGAATTGAGAGATCGGTATATCATAATTAAACTTGTATGTCTGGCGAATGTATGTAGAAAAATATGGCAACAGTTGACATCCTTCCTCCTCTTTTTGTTTACTATGTCTAAAGTAGTCATGCTACGATTCAACTCGTATTGCGTGTTCATTTAAATTTGTCACAACATACCGCGTGTGCATCAACCCAAATCAAAGCCGCGTCTGGATGTACTGCAAAAGTTCCCGAAACTGTTCCCATAGCCAAACTATGGTCCCCGCCAAGTGTCAATGCTAGCTGTCCCTTCCTCACGTAAGATTCGACTGTTTTAGAAACCTCCCGACATACTTTCGAAACAAAGCGCGGTTGTTTCAGCTTGCCAATATCAGGATCATATGTGGGACGTAATTTATCTAGCTTGCGGTGGCCATCGAACTCGACTGACCATCCCAGGTCGACAAGTTGATCTAACAAGCCATATTCAATTATTCTTAGCGGACCCAGGTCTACTCCCCCTCTAGGCTGAATAGGGGGAAAGAGAAATATTTTAGTGATGATTCAAATAATTGAAGAGTGATTTGGTCGATGATACATGTTTGTCACATTCTTTATGTGAAACGCGTCATTTTCACTCCCATAACCAAGCATACTGACCTGGCCGCCGCTGAACGGACATCCGATAACTCCAACAGTCTGTCCTTTCAAATATTTGTATTCGCTCATATTAGTATTCTACTCTATTGATATGTTATTATTGATATATTATGTGTGAGAATGCTAGTTTTTTTTTGTACGTTTTGTGTGGTTCTCAGTGGAGTGTTTATATGGGATAGTGCAGTAATGTGACGATCCAAATTTAGTCTTTCAGCAAGTAATTTAATGAACTAAATTAGGGGGTAGCATGCAGAGTCATGCACATTATCGGATGGTCCGAATACGTATAAATGGAAATGACAATAGAGGGGGGATGGAGGAGCTAGCTCGGTGATATATTAATAAATATCGTTAGTTGCCAACCACCACTGCTGCTAAATTACGACAACGAACGAGGGAAAACTACCGTCAAGATTTTCTATTTGTTATTTGTTAAATATCTCAACCGGCATGTTGTGTAGCAAGGAGGTTTGCATTTTGTCATGGGACCCGGTATAACAATCTGCGAAAAACCGTTGAATTCATAGTGTGGGAAAACCAAGCCCTACATCCAAGCCCCATTTTTCTTTGTCATATTGCGCCGACATTTTCGGTAACCACAGAAATGCACATATAAACCCGTTGCATCGAAATGAAAAACTATTAGAGAGAGAACTAGCGTTTCGGCCGTCATGAAGCGTCAATAGAATGGAATTGGAGACATCATAATTACGACATATGTCTCACACGGAACAAAGTTCTCAATTAAATAGCCCCACTTTTGCTTTGTTTGTTAATCACATGTCTTTAATAGTTCGTTACACATATTTACAGCCATAATAATAATCGAACAGTCCCAAATATTGTTGACTACGTACATTAAAATTAACAAAGCTCAAAACACAACAACAAAACAAAGAAATCGTTATTCGCCTTACTCTTCAGTTTCCGCTTTCCTCTTCCTGCCTTTTGCTTCCTTCCCTGATTGCTGCTTATTATTTAGATATTTCTGCCAATCAAACTTATTGGGCAGCCACTCTCCATTGTAGATGCATAGAATTTTCATTCTTTCATCATAATCAAGATCAGGAAGAAGTTTGGGCGTTATTAAGAAGTACCTAATATACAAGTTATAGATAGATTAGCAAGCAAAGCATTATCCCAAGAATATTTGAGCGAGCAACAAATAAATAAACATATAAGCGATTCAAAACAATCATTATTCACTCTTATACGCACTGTGACGTGTTTGGTCTGCACGCGGCCTGCACCATCTGACTATGAACCATACGTTCATTACGGGGGTCCATTCCTTGATTTATTTCATCGACCACTCGGAATGGAGCCTTGGCGAGCTCTTGTAGAGACATCAAATACATAATGGTTGATACCGAACGTTCCTGGAACCCCAATAGCACAGATTGTGAGCTTGACCCCGATAAATGGGGTGGGTGTAAACACAATATAGTTACGAAACAGGTTACTCACGCCTCCAGATTGTCTTTGTCCGGTCAAAACTTGGAGTTTCTCGTGATCTCTGCATTTATTTAGCGAAATTAACACAATATTCAAAGAACAATGGCATTTTTTCAATGGTACCAAATAATCACCTGAATTTTACTAATATGTCAATTCCCCATTTATCATAATCTTCATGTGTGCTCACGCGCACCTCACCTGCGCATCCGATCTCTGCAAATTCGAAACATATGCGAATTTAGATCGACGGAATAACAAATAGCAACTCGTTCCCCCCATCGTCAACTTACTATCGAATGCCTCAGAGAACTTTGAACTTATATTCTTCACAATCTCGTTTAACTTTGATTCCCACTCATTCTATAAAAAAGAGGACAGATCATGAATCGAACAAACTAACAATAGAATCGATTAAATATGTGGCAATTAAAAAAAACATACACGTATTGCGGCCATTTCAGTTGATAGTTCCGCCAAGCGCGATTCTTTGCTAGAAAGTTTCTCTTTCAACGTATCAATCTGTATTCGAAAGACACAATCAACGTCATGTAATCAGCATGTTGATAAAAATCTTCACCCTTTCCCGTATTATCCCTCTCTAACCTCGGCTTTCCGTTGATTATATTGTTGAACGATATGTGGAGAAATCGAAAAGTACAACTCTGCCTTTGCACGTTCGCTAACTAATTCATCCTCAAGCTCTTCAAGCGTCATATCCCGTCCCACGTTTTGGAACTCTTGTCGAGTTTTCTCGTCTAGGTTGTCGGTGCCCGTTTTGGCTTCATCTAGAAGTTGTCTTGCGCGATCCTTGGCGACGTTAAACTTGCGGTCAGCTTATAATAAAGAAAATGTGCAGAGTTAAGATCCGAAACCCGCGCAAAAGGCAAAAGAGTTTTAGTAAATTAATTAACCGCAATAACCATAATTTCCTCTTGTACCCCCATATTCATCCTCTGTTTTGTCTTACCATCATTGAATTTAGCTCGTGCTTCCCTCAAAGCATCATCTCTCTCTGCTACACGTCTGGCAAGCGCCACCAATTCTGCCTGTGCCTGCATGTGCTTGAAAGCTGCCCCCGTCTTCTCCTTAAATAAACGTAAGCTTTCCCGCATGGCCGCTTGATAATCTTTTACTAATCTGCAACGACGTCGTCCAAAATCCTGGATAACTGTCCGAAATTGGGTTTCAGCTTGCGTTAAGTAATTTGGACGAGCCATCTCGGACTCTAAAGTTTCCTGACGTGTTTCTAGAAAATTTGAAAAAATAAAAAGTGGGTGATGCATTCTCTGCTAAACAATTAATAAAAAAAATATGTTGGCACATCTACTCACGAAGCTTGACTTTCGCTCGCTCATAATCTGTTCGCTCTTTCATTAATTGCCTTTTTTCTTCGACTAGTAGATGCTATATATAACCATGGGATTTGAGTAAAATAAATAAAGTGAATAGATTATCAAAATCTCGACTTCAGGCGTTCCAACGTACAACTCATATTCAAAGATCGAATCAACAGATATGTTATGCGAAATAGAATTGATTTATAACCTTCTTTCTTCGCAGCTCCTCATCCTCTGCACGAAGTGTATCGTCTTCGCGTTTTAATCTCTGCAACGTCGCGTCGACCTTTTCACGACGCTCTTTGAGCGAATATATTTGAGCATCGAGCTCTCGCTTTCTTTGCGTATTCTCTACAACCAAATAAATTAGTCATGGGTCTAACACGGTAAAACTCGACTATAATAAATTCCCGTGACACTCTAAAATTTCCACCATTTGGCTTAACTCACTCGAATCAGTCAGAAATCGTCCGGGTCTCATTCGGAAAGTATTCGTCTGCGGTAATTTTTGACCGTATTGCGAGAATCCAACGCGATACTGCATATCGCCACAAATGTAAGTGAAATGCCTCAAGAATCTCACGGAGTTTACAAAAGACTCGTGGTCTGTCTCGTTCGAGGTGTAAGGCTAGCAAGAATATAAAAAGAGAATATATTTGAAAATGATCGATGACGTAATACAAGAGCTTGTAACAATGTTGTATCGTTATATCGATACTCGCAAAAACACATACCACGGCATGAAAATTCGACTCGGAACAAAGTACTGTAAGAACAGGATTTGGTCCCTCAACCTGTTCCAGAAGGTAACATTCCATCCCGTACTTTTGTTTCAACTATCCAGACAACAATTTATCAATATATTCTCTTAAACACACATTATCTGAGATAAAAGCAAAGCAAACACAAACCTCTCGGAGCGGAATTGGCGGCTTAAAATTTTCCAAAACTTTATCCTTGCACCAAATGGCATTCACGCGTAAACGTAGTGAGTCTATTACTTCTCCTGTAAATAATTTATAGTCTTCTGCTGTTTGACACACAACGTCTAACACAACATGAAAAACATATAATTTTATTAGTAAAGTTTTTACTAGTTATCAAGAGCGTATAATTCGGATAAAACCTTTAGTATAGCCTGCCCAGCAACGGCTTCAACTGCATCTATATACTTCTTTTCCTTCACATTAATTTCAAGATAAATTGGCTCGTAAACATGTTTTGCGAACCGATCTCGATTGTCACGGAGCCATAGCACTGCTTTATACATATCCGGATCGCTCTCACGTAGGGATTCCAGACGGCGTTCTTTCACGTTAGCGAGAGATTGTAGTCTTGATATTGAATAAATAAAATCGTATCGAAATACCAATTAACTCTTATCTTTATAAATTATAATCCAAAGAACTCTCTCCCAACTCAAACGTACTGTTCATTACAGTTTCGATATTGTCGTATTATTGCCTGCTGCTCGTCACCTTCCTCATCCTGCTTGGCTTGTGTCGTCGCCATGTCTTCGCCTATTTGTCTCAACCTATTATTCACTGCATCCTACAAATTTCATAATCGGTTACCAACAACTGATATCCTTATCCTCGCGTAAATCAAATAACATAAACATACAAGTTGACGTTGTATCTCCTCGGTATTACATTCTGGAGGTGGTTCAGCAACCACTGCCTCAAGTTGTTGTATTTCACTACGTAATCCGGAAATTCTATTTTGTTTTTGCTTCTCTTTGTGTTTTGCTTCACTGACCGACCGTCGTGCATCGTCTCCATCACCTTCCTGTATGAAACAATATTTAGTCAAGTCTGACAATAGGTATATCCGAGTATTAGCGCGTCCGACAGCTTTTAACAGACCAATTGTTCAATACGCTGAATGATTCTATCAATTTCTGTTGATTTCACTCTCAAGGCATCTTGATTATCCCTTCTAGATTGCAGTGTCGCTCGAGCGGTTTTTTCGATAGAGCTAATTGATCCATGTAAAGTATTTTACGATTAGATATGATGCATCTATTGCCTTGTGTTTACTCATACAGAGTACCGTAGTGTATTGACATTATAATTACTCACGCCTTTGCCCGAGTAGCAGGACCATGTTCATCTTCAATACGTTTATAGTCAAAATGTGCATCCTCTCGTTCTCGTTTGGCTCCGTCGTATTCCGCCTTTGCTGCAGCATATCTGGCAAACGGGATACGCATTTCTAGTAACCTCACCTAAGGTAATCACATGTCACTATTGGAGATCAATAAAATCATCAAATGTAATGCAATGTTATAATGGTCAATACCCGTCGCATTATGGACTCGCGCTCTCGAAATCGCGTTACGTCTCTTTCTAATACTTGATTTCGTTTCTCTAAATTTTCCACCTGCTCGTTATCCCCTTTGGCACTCTAATCAATTAATCGTTTCGGTGGTGAGCACGCTGTGGGAGTCATGCACAATACTACAAAATTATTCACGTTACCAGTGCTAGATCCTTCTCTTCATTGCGTAACTTCTTTAAACTTTCATGCCATAGACCTAATTGTGCATCACCTACTGCACGCTGCGTCTCCACTAGTAGTTCTGGCGGACTCATCTATAAATTACGTTAACAGAAATTAAAAAAACACATCGGAGGGCAGTCACAAAAGTATTGCTTAACATACCTGTGCAAATTCGCTGACTTTGTCTTGTGGTAAGAATTGACTAAAACAATTTTTACGATGGGACGTTACGTGGTCAATAATATACTTGAAAGACAGTTTTACCTAGTGCACGACTCACGACACTTACCAAAGATTATTAACTTGTATGTTAAGTGCCCCCACACGAGACAAGACTTCTTTCTGAGTAACAATCTCGCCTTTATTAATAGAAATGTGTCAGTAGGACTCTATCGATTGAATGTAGCAAACTAGAACAGATATCAGTGATTCATCTTAATGTTCAACTTTTCATACCATTAACCCTCCACGTTGAAGCATTATTCTCCTTCTTAATATGTCTTTTAATAATCAGATTCGGTGAGGATTTCAATTCAATCTCTATTTCGGCTCGATCTTCGCCATGTTTCACGAAATCTGAGATCTCTCGTGCGCGTCCAAGTACCTTTAGATATAGTTTGAACGTCAATGTCCTATATTGGTATCGTCTTGCATAAGAAGCGCTTAAACTTACCGAAGGGTGTCCACCAAGTCCAAGAGCAATAGCACACACAATAGTACTCTTGCCCGTACCATTGGGTCCAATTATCATGTTTAGATTCGGCCCGGGACGAAACTCCACTGAATCGTACGTCACAAAGTGTGTGAGTGCTACACGAACTATTGACCCTTCAATATAGCTTGTTACGTCAAGGGACGAAGAAAAGCATAATCTCATGTCAGTTGGCGCAGTAATATGCAAGTTGCAAAGACTTTATAGTTAAGTAGGAAAGAACTCTCTAGGTAATTGTTAATAACTCGACGTTCCCACGTGCGTGGTCAACAGTTTCTACATTAAACGTGTCACTGTACTCTAACAAGGGTTGTTATAACAAACACTGGGTACAGTAGAAGGTACTGTCTGTTTTCCCTCTATCCCCTCCTAGACCGAAATAACTTACTCGTCATCAATAGTAGAAACAGAGGAAGTCGACGAGCGTGCTACTTTTGTTGAAGCCATTTGAAAAGAGAAGAGGAAGAAGGAAGAGAAAGATACAACAAACGTCATACGCGACGCGAGCTCGAATTAATAATGAGCCAGAATGCTTTGATCTCGTGATCGCCCAACTTGTGCAACGAGCATGTTTACAATGTTTGTTTTGCTATGGACCCGACAGCAATGCTGATTGTATTAACTGGTACATAACATGATGTTTACTTGTTTACAGTTTGGGTAGGGGCAGCCGCGAAATCCTTATTCTAAACTGTTGGGTCGATAGTTTGTTGGATACTTGGGGTATGGTTGGGCTGCATAGAGGGTATGTGAGAGAGAATAACAGAATGTCGAAGTGATGCATTGCGTTTGCATCGTAGCTCTTTCAGCGTGCCTCTAAACAACGTCATGTTTTTGGTGAATATCTGTCACTAACGGCGCTGAAAAAAAAATTAAAATAGATAAACTGTCGTTGGCTTTTAAAGACAACGAGTTAATCACGTAACGTAATATCCTGCTGTTAACTTGCCAAATGTAAGTTTCTCGTACCTACAAGATGTTCGAAGTTTCAAAAAGTCAATTTTCTGCCGCTAGTGAAAATGAAAGCAGTAATAATGTTTCTTTAGACGTCTACCAATTATTCGTTATTGATTTGAGAAAACAAAGTGAATGTCTCAAAGACCACAGTTCGCTATGATACTACAGCGTATACTCTGATCGAATGCCCGTAGTCAAAGCTTCAGAACCGTTTTCGTAGACAATAGCTTTATTCAATGCATCCATATGAGATTGCATACAAGTTTGCATGTTTTATGCGCGTTTTCGGTTCCGCCATTTCAAATACCGACAACCATAAACATATTTAAAGACATTATCCTCCAAACTCTTTTAACCATTGCAATATTTTGCGTAAACACATAATC